ATACATCCTGATGATAGATCTAAAGATTATGATGTATCAAAAGCATTCAGATGGTGCTCTGCTGTGTTCAATGGAGCTTTGACAGCAGTATTTGCAAGCATATCACTTGCCTTTCTCCCTAGCCCATTTTTTATGTCGAAACTCTATTGAACCCTGCTTATCCTATATAATAATGCTGGTATTTAAAATACCTTTTGCACAGAGATCAATTTCAAAGGCATATACAAGACAAAACAATATGATAAAGTTATAAATTGGGTGACAGATCAAATGAAGAATATTTAAACTTGAGTAAGATTTGAAAGTATATTTTCACCTTAAATAATTTGCAGATATTCCCATGGACACTAGTGCTTTAAATGACAGGAGTTTAATAACACTTGCTTAAATTCACTTTCTCTCTAGATTTTATTGCATAGTTTTCCCTTCCAGTGAAAAAATAATGTTGCTTAAACTGTATGTCAAATCTGTTCAGTTTGGATTAAAATGATCTTTAGTCACCTTTCAATATGGATTGAAGCTCAACATCAAGAAGATGAAGACAAAGATTCTCATCACTGGGCCAATTGGGAGTACCATAATAGATGGAGAAGAGATTGAGGTTGTTAACAATTACAGTTCACTCAACTCCACAATCAACACTCTGAACACCAGCATTCAGGAAATCAAAAGATTAACTGCACCAGGAAAATCTGCTGTTAGGGCCTCTCCAGAGTACTGAAAAACAACGATGTCAGTCTAGAGACTAAGGTGCACCTAATCCAGACCATGGTCTTTACAATTATTTGCTATGCATCAGAGAGCTGGACAATGACTAAGGATGACAATAGAAGAATTGATGTTTTTGACTTGTGGTGCAGAAGAAGAGTCTTGAATATACCATGGACTTCAAGAAAACAAGTAGATTTGTCTTGGAGAGGCTGAAGTCAAGTTTCTTTTGGAGAGGCTAGGATTTTGAAGCTCCATCTCACCTATTTTGGGCACATGGTCAGGAGAGACCAGTCCTTGGAGAAGGACATCATTCTTAGAAGGGTGGAGGGACAGCAAAAGCGAGGAAGTCCCAGGATGAGATGGATACAGTAACTGGGGCAATGGGAGTTGGTGTGTAGGAATTATTGAGCCTGGTTCTAGACAGGGCCGGATTCAGATCCACTGTACATAGGCTCCCTGTGGGTTGCAGGTGATTCAACGGCACATAACAACAACAGTGCCAATGTGACTAGAACAATGAACTCAGGGGCATAAAAATGGGAACAAATTTAAATGAATGTCGTGCAAGATCAGAGAATGTTTATTCCATGTATGTAACTAAATAACCAAATAACAATAATAGTAATAATAAAATAATTTCCATCTAGTGGATTCTGATTCATAGTGACTCTCCAATGGACTTTTGAGAGGAGACTGCCTATTTTTTTTTCTGGGAGCTACTGATGGATTAAAGTCCTTGAGGCAGTGCAGTCTTTAATTCAGTGCAACTCTGTACAAATCAGGCCACCATAGTTCACAACCAACTCTATGACACCTAACAACAACAACAACAACAACAACAACAAAGCATACGTCTCTGCTGTACTTGAGCCCATTATGACAGTCATATGTCAATCAATCCCACTGAGGGTCTTTCCCTCCATTACTTGCCTTCTATCTGCCCAAGTATCATGCTCTTTTCTAAATATTGGTTCCTCTACCAAACATTGCCATCACAACTTTATGGCACATAACAACAACTAAACATTGGGTCTATTAAAAATATCCAAAAGGTAGAAATCATCCAAATGTCCTTTAATTTTGAAAAGTTAAAAAAAAAGAAAGGTATTACACCCACATTGGAAAATACTGTTATTAAAAGGAATGGAATACTTGGGAATATATGCTAAGCTGTTTTTGAAACTCAACATGAAGAAAACAAAAATTCTCACCACTAGGCCAATGGCAGCATCATGATAGATGGGAAGAAACTGAAATTATTGAGAGCTTTAGTTTGCTTGGCTTCACAATCATCACTGTTGGTACCAGCAATTGTTAATTGCATTGGGAAATTCTGCTGTCTGGGACCTCTCCAAAGTATTGAAGAGCTGTGATGTAAGTCTGGAGACTAAGGTGCCCCTGATCCAGGCCATGATCTTTGCAATTACTTGTTATGCAACAGAGAGCTAGACAATGACTAGGAATGATAGAAGGAGAGATGATGCCTTTGAGCTGTGTTGCTGGAGAAGAGTGCTGAATATATCATTGAGTGGTAGGAGAACAAACAAGCTCATCCTAGAGAGAGTGAGACCAGGCTACTTCTCCTTGGAGGCAAGGATTCTGAAGCTTTGACATACTTTGGACATGTTGCAAGGTGGGATCAGTCCTTGGAGAGGGATGTCATGCTTGTAGGGTGGTGTGGAAGGACAGCGTAAGAGAGCAAGACCCTTGAGATGGATTGATTCAGAGACTGGGATATGAGGGTAGGTGTATCAGAAAAAAACAAGATTGGCACAGGATAGAGCAGGTTTTAGGGCTGTTGTACACAGTGTTGATATGAGTTGCAGGCAACTAGACAGCACATAATAACAACCACCACCACCACCAAAATGCTAACTGCATGTAGCTAGAAAGCAAAGGCTATGCATTACATGACTGAGTGTATGTACAATGCCCCAAACAAGTTACTTGACAAGGAAACATTTTGACAGGCTACTTCTATTAAGATTTGGAGGTTTGGAAACCTCTGTGTAGCAATTCTAATGCTACCTATAGGGCAGAGTCAGAATTCATGCATGACAAGTCCATGAAACCCAGAGGGTCAGTTAATGTAGCACACGTGAGGCTTCTGGCTACTACCAAAGACTTTTCCGAAACGTGAAAACCAATTTTTGAAGACAGATGATTTAAAATGCCAACCGTTAAATTTTTGCTATACTCTTCCGGCTCACAGGCAATCAAGAAGGGATTTCCAAGAAGTTTAATATTGAGAAGAAAACAGAAGCCTCCTCTATGACTTGAGTTAAAAATAAAACCAAAGTACGTTCTACACATTGGCCTCATGCCACCTATTCTTATAGATGCTGTTCACATCCTACTCAGCTTCCTTTACAACTAGGAACTCTAAGACGTTAGGTACCAAGTGAGGGAAGTACAGGTCACTATTAAAGAATAATGTTCTTAAGTTTGCCTCTCCAGAACAGCCAACATGCCACTTCAAGATGATAATTATTCCTGTGAGAATAATGTCCCAGAGCCTTTACAGAAAGGTTTTTATAGACCCATGTACCACAAGATGCAATTGTTTGCTTTGTTGGTTTTGTTTTGCTGTTTTCTTTTATTACTATCTTTCACACATTCAGAGCAAGTTTCACCCTGGATGGAATGATTGAATGCATTGCTCCCTCACTTTCTGCTCCTGCACTACAGAGCTCTGTGTATATCAGTCATCTTTAGTGGTTGATGAATTAATTCCAAATTTAAATGTCTAGTCTTCTGGGGAAGGTTATTGAGGTATTTAGAATTATTTAGGCTCTTTACATCACTTTATAAAATCTTATTTTGATAACTGAAATTTCTGAGTATCTCTGGACAAATGTGTCCAACATGTCACTGAAAGCAGATAATTTATCCCTATGAGAGGAAAACAAGGTCCCTAAGCCTTGGTGGAAATTTTTATATATATACATCCTTCATACAAGAGAGTTACTTGTTTCAACAGGAGGTCTGTTTGAAGATGCTGAATACATCAGGTGTCGCTATGCTCACTATGCTGTAAGGTAAGACTCTCAACAGTAATGAGTTTTGTTTAAGATTATTGCTATTCATATAGGCAAATTACCATTTTCAGCTATTTTCAAATATAATAATAAAGTACTTTTTCCTCATTCCAAACATTCAAAATACTTGCATAATTATCATTAACATCATTTGACAGATAAGGTTGATGCTCATGGAGAGTTAACAATTGGTAGGACTTTATGACCTAACTTTTTTCACAGTGGGCAACATGCTTATTATACCAGAAAAGAACGTGCTCCAAGAATCGAGACTAACTATACTAATTATGAAAGAATAAAATATGACTTAAGTGCACATGACTTACAAAACTCATAAATATTACTAGAAGCACAAACATGAAGAACCTTTCTTGGGTTCAAAGTTTTATGGATAAAATGAATCCCTGTCCTCTTTAACAGTGAATGGAGATTATACTTTCACTTATTGTGTTATTATATGTTTCTATTGTTATATCAATAGTTCTTATGTCTCATTTGCACACACAGGCTTAAAGTTGGAATATAATAGAAATAGTGCTTTGTGTCCACATGGTGCTATACCGGATATGTCCAGGGGTTCTCTACCAATCAATTCTCTTAACAACCAGTAAATTGAAAATAATTATTACTTTTTACAGAACAGAAAATAAGAACATAAAGTTCCAATAAATACACTCCAAATAAAGGAGTTGGAAACAGGAGATTCTAGATCAAGTCTTTCTGATTCTAAATGAAAACATGTAGTTGCTGGTCATTTTCAACCTTTTAGTACCACTTATTGTGAGAATTAAAGCTGGCAAAGCAAGGGCTGATGGAAGTCTGGTAGTACAATAGTTTGCTCAACTGGAAACCAAAAGTGTGGTGACTTAACAACAGGCACTCCAAGATAGACAAGAACTTGAAATCTGCTGCTAGGAAACAAGTAGAAATCGTTAATGTATGCACTGGAACAACATAACAAATGTACGTTAATATCTCTGAATTGTTCCATATGAAGAATATTGGAGTGGTAAATGTTTGTTTTATATATTTACCACAATAGAACAAAAGAAACCCAGAATTTTATATTGCCTTCAAAAAAAGAGCCAAACATGTCACAAACAAACAAACAAACAAAAAGTAAAAATTTATAAATCAAAAGTTCTAAGACATTATTGCTTATTGGACTAAAAAAGTTTGAACAAGTCTAGGCTGTATTAACAAATACGGTTTTATTTTCAGGTACTATAATTGAACGGTCACATAAAATACATGGAGACTAGTAACAATGTAACAGAATTCATTCTACTGGGGCTCACGGAAAATCCGAAGATGCAGAACATTCTATTTGCAGTGTTTTTTGTCATCTACATTGTCACCATAGCAGGCAACGTGCTCATTGTGGTCACGATCACCGCCAGCCCATTGTCAGCATCTCCCATGTACTTCTTCTTGGCCTATCTCTCCTTCATTGATGCTTGTTATTCCTCTGTCAACACCCCTAAACTTATTGTAGATTCACTCCATGAAAAGAAGACCATCTCATTCAATGGCTGCATGACCCAAATCTTTGGAGAGCATTTCTTTGGAGGTTCTGAAGTCATCCTTCTGACGGTGATGGCCTATGACCGCTACGTGGCCATCTGCAAACCCCTGCACTACTCAACCATCATGAGCCGGAAAGTGTGTGTTCTCCTGCTGGGAGTCTCTTGGATGGGAGGCTTCCTTCATGCAACCATACAGATACTTTTCACCGTCCGATTACCCTTCTGTGGTCCTAACATCATAGATCACTTTATGTGTGATCTGAACCCTTTGCTTAATCTTGCCTGCACTGATACTCATACCTTAGGACTTTTTGTTGCAGCCAACAGTGGATTTATCTGCTTGTTAAACTTTCTTCTCTTGTTAGTCTCCTATGGGGTCATCTTATATTCCTTAAGGACCCACAGCTTGGAGGGGAGACGCAAAGCCCTCTCCACTTGTGTATCTCACATCACAGTGGTCATCTTATTCTTTGTACCCTGCATATTTGTGTACATGAGACCTGCAACCACTTTATCCATTGACAAAGCAGTTGCTGTATTCTATACCATCATCACTCCAATGTTAAATCCTTTGATCTACACCTTGAGAAATGCCCAGATGAAAAGTGTTATTAGGAAACTGTGTAGTAGGAAAGTTATTTCAGATGACAAATAAATATTTCTAGTATCTAAGAATGAGTCATTTGAGGAAAATGTCGAGAACATATAAAAAGATCTCTGAAATAAGTACTTATGGAATAAACATAAAAATATTGATTATTACAGTTCATTGATTTTGATTTAGCATATTAGATGAATGAGTTCAAGAACAGATAAAAACCTAACCCACAAGCATTTTCTTATCCTTGAAAATTTTACTAAATTCTGACTTAATCTTATTAGCATGATCTATGTAAAAGGAAAAACAGATTTATTTTTAATAAAAATTATGTAGACAACAAAATTTCATATATTAAACAATAACCTCTGTGACAAGGACCAAGGGTCCAGCACACATGTTTTCCAGTTTTATAAGTAAAGAATTTAGAGAACCAGAAAGTACCAAAGCAGATCCATTGAAGAGTCAATAAATATACCTAATTTATATTATTAAGTCTATAATTTGATTAATATCATTCATACTATACTCTTTTATTGTTATGATATATTGTCAAGTAATGGTGATAGAAAATCAGACACTCATTGAGTCAAGGACTGTGCTGCAACATAGTACATATTATTTTCTTATCTGTAGCTGAAAAAAAAATCTAATGATTCTTATTTTTAATCTCCTAATTGTCATGTTTCACAGTTTATGGTCATTTGTTCCAGAAACGTTATATTGTTGTTAGGTGCCATCAAGTTGGGTATAACTCATAATGAACAATTGACCTGAACATTGTCTCTGTTCAGATCGATTGTTCATATAGAGCTCTGGCAGTCTAGCGGTAAGGAGTTGCCCTGTCAACGTGAAGGTACAAGGTTTGGATCCACCAGCTTCTCCACTGGAGAAAAATGATCCATCTCCACACATGCAGTTTACTGCCTCTGAAAAGCTGCTGGAGGGTCAGCTGGTTGGTTCTGACTCGAGATTACGCTATCACAACAACAGAAACATTATGGCATCTAAGAGTTATATAGGACTGCAAAAATAATGGGAGATTTAATTTTCTAAGTTACAGGCAGTAGAGATTAGGTCAGGTTTCCAACATTCCTATGGCTTTTATTTTTTAATTGCTCACATCCTCCATCTAATAACCCACCAGATTGTTAGCTCAAATAAAAGAATATTTGATTTAGAGACCTTTAGAAACTAAAGTCCTACTCCATTAAGTACTTGTCTGTTAGACGCAGTATTTCCTACTATGTTTTACGCTTCCCCTTCCCATTTTTGGTGAACATTTTGTACATTTCTTCTGAAATACAAATATTTACATGTCTCATTAATAAAATTTCTCAAAAGAGCTTCTGGGGGAAAAATAAAGGAAAAGATCTGTCAGACTTCTTTCCAAATTAGAAACCAGAAAAGCCCATTTCATGCATGGGTTCATCTGGTACTGACTGACAGCATGCATAGAGGCAATGTGCTTGGCCCCAGACATGGGACAGGAAAACAGCACTTTTGTAGTTGAGTCTTTTTTTTTTCTTTTTCTTTTGGTTTTTCAAAATTGTGGTGTCCCAATACCTGAACTGCCAAATTGCCTTTAGGCCCAAAGTTAACAGTTTAACAACTTGCTGAAAGAACAAACATTTAGGAGTATATACACCATTGACCAAAAGAACAATAAAAATCCAACAGTGGCTATGAGGACACTGAAAACAGATTGAGGAGTCAGGCGGGAGCAGGGCATTGTGAAGGCGCTATTGTCTGGTACCCAGCAGCTGACTAGGAGTTTTCAGGTCCTCCTCCAAGTGGCCAGCACAGATAAGCAGGCTTGGTGGCCAGTGGCTCAGGAATTAACAATGCTGATGGTTCAGCTCAGGGCCTTGAAAGGATTCCTGCTCTCTTTCCGCTGTCCCTGCTAGGCGACATTTGAAACGTCTGTGGACACCTTTGTTCTACCACTTGGGAGGATGAGAGTTTACACAGGCAACCCAAACTTACTGGTGCATAATAAATTCTGAATTATAAAACAGGATCAACAAATTGAGTAAAATATAGAGAAAAGAATAATACTGGATACTAAGAAATCCTTTCTTTTCTAGCTTAATCCCATTCGGACCCTCAGGAGCATTCTAGTGAGACTTTCTGTGGGAGGTCAGACTCTTTTCCTTCTGCAGAAACCAAAAATGAGAAAAAGTGCAGCTAAGATTTTAGTGTGTGAAAAATACTTAACTTTGCTAATTCCCTTACTCTCAGTTAAGTTTTCCTACCTGATCAAACGTAGATTGTATATGTATGCCGTTTTCCCTTTGTTAATTTATGTTTTAGTTCACATTTAATTACTAAAAGCTGTTTTCAAAAAAAAATTATAGCTCTGGCTACTCAGAAGGCAACTTCAGGAAGAAGATAATTCTGTTCCTTGCTTCACGAGTTCATTCATCAGCATGTGTTTTTTAGCTCATTGGATATATGGCACACTGCAATAGTTACTGAGGTTTGAGGTCTGGGTAAAATGATGAACAAAACCTGCTTATGAAATGTTAGGAAACCCACAAGGAAAAGGGAGAATGACACAAGACAGTGATATAAATGCCTAGACAGTGGAAGTACTGTGCACTGTGAAATATCACATTGCTGCTGGTGCTGTACATTGGCTCCAACCCACAATGCTGCCCAGTTCTGTGCAGTCTTCACCATGTGTGTTATGGTTAAGGCCACTGTTCCCAGCACACCATCAGTCTCATCTAGAGTCTTCTTCCTTTTCAGAGACCCTCTACTTTACCATATATAAAGCTTTTTCCTCTAAGAATTGGCACTTCTTGATGACATTTGCAAAATATAGGGATATAACCATAGCAGCCTGCTTTCTAAGGAAACTTTTTTCTGACTGTACTTCTTCCAAAATTTCAGAAATGTTGATACCCCCCCCCCCTCACTGCCTCTCCTTGGTAAATTCAGTATTTTTACCAATGTCACAATTTAAATGCATCCACTCTTTGGTCTTCGTGATAGATTGCCCAGACTTCACATACATATGAAGTAATTAAAAATACCGTGATTTGGATCAGGCATACCTTAGTCCTCAAAGTGACATCCATAAAAAAGGATATTTGTAAGATAGTCACGTAAATCCACAAGTCTTTTGATTATTTTGATTGCTTTTTCCATGGTCATTGTGGATCTGAAAAAATAAAAACCTTGACAACTTCAATTTTTTTTCTCTGTTTTTCCGTGATGTTGTTTATTAGTCTATTTGTAAGAATTTTTGTTTATATTGAGTGTACTCAGCATCCACTTCCTAAACAACATGCCTCTGGAAACTCTAAGAACTTTGATAACTGTCAGTAGTTGTAGAGGGACTTCAGGCCTTTTGTTCATAGGGTCGCTATGAGTCATACATGACTCGAAAGCAATCAACAACAACAATCTATACTGAACACTTCAGACTTTACCCTTCATGGGAGGTAGAAAGAACAGAGACCTGGGGGTCAAGAAATGGCCTTTGAAAAATCACCAAATGAAAGTGTAAACGTAAAAGAAATGGATGACTAGGTAGAATGAGTATGAGGATCCCAGGGTGGGGGAAGGGTGAAAGCAGAGGGGTGAAGACAGGTGGGGGGGGATTAATCACAGGGTCACACATTGGATGGGTGAGGGTGGTGAAGGAAATGGGAAAGATCTGGTGTGATAATGTATTTGAACTTTGGATATAAACCAAATGAACATGGAGTAATGTAAAAAAATACATAAATAGAAGACAGTACACATGAACTAGAAATGAAAATTGCATTATATATATATATATTATAAGGAGAATTGATGCCTTTGAGCTGTGATGCTGGAGAAGAGTATTGAGAATACCAT